CCCTCACTACTACTTAACTGCCACCCGGGTCCTCTGCCCCCAACGCCTGCCCCTTCCACCTGACTGCCCCCAGTGGGCAAATGAGTAGAGACTCATTTGGACCTGGGTAGTTTAGTCCAGAAGTACTTCACTTTGCATGTTGAGGGAAGTGAGAGCACTGATTTTTGTGATGGGAGCTCTAAGTACAAAAGCATCTTTGACTGCCTTTAGAGACAGCACAGTAAGGTGGCAAAGAACGCTGGTTCCTAAAACAGACAGGCCTGGATATGAATTTGCTACTTGTTCTGCCATTTGCTGGCTGTGTGGTCTTGGGCAAGTTACCCAACCTCTCTGGGCTTCAGTTTCCTCAACTGTAAAATGGGAATAAATGGTACTATTATTATTCATTATTTCTAACTTATAGTGTTTTTATGAGAATTAAATGAAGCAATGTGAGAAAAAGGCTTAGCATTGTGTCAGGTATCAGGCACATGGTACATTCTCAATAAATGGTATTTCTCATGATTATTATTATTAATTATTGCCATATTGTATAAGACCTGAGTTCCAGCCCTGGCTCTGCTGCTAGCTGCCCTGGGGACCTTGGGCAAGTGCCTAAGCTCTCTGAGTTTCTTCTGTGAATGGAAGGAATTGGACTATAATCCCTGAGAATTCAAATGTCTTTGGTTTTATGAAATGCATCAAAGGCAGTTTCCTAGCCAGGGTCCCACAGCATTTCAGTTTTATGTCTTTAGACCTGAATTTACAATCCAGCCGCTCCTCCCTTCCACCCCAACAGCACTGGCAGGGTCACAGGGAGCCGCTCAGAGAATGGGATGGGCTCCCTTCCTTTGTCGCGAGCTGACTTTCCATCACCTGCTCTCAGCTAACCGGGAGTGGAGCAGCTGCTTAAAACCAACGTGCTCTTCATCAGAGTGAGACAAACACGTGTGGCCTGATTTTAATTTTAGCTTCATTTATGTGTCTTGGAACATAAAGAACTGTTCCTGGGTCCAGGAAGTCGTACTGTCAGTTGGGCTCATGAGATTCTTACAAAACGGTCTTGAGTTTCGTTGATTTGAGTTTAGAAAGGAGAAAACAAGTGTTGGAGCTAAATAAAACTCGTGGTGGTGAGCGGACAGCGGAAGGCCACTGTTAAATGTCCTCAGGGATTCCTTTCTAAGGGCTTTTGATCATCAGACTTTTCATTTTCAAAGGAAAAAAATAGCAGCAGCCTGATGCTACTAGCAGTTTCCTTCACATGTAACAGGAAACAACCTATCGATGTTTGTAAAGAAAGCCTTACATCCTAGATCATTCGTAAACCTCTTTGAGTACCTACTGTCTGCCAAGCACCAGAGAGACAACGTGAATAAGATAGAGAGGGTCTATAACCCCGTACCTAATGCCTGGCATATCGTAGGTGCTTGATAAAAATTTGTTGAATAAGTAAATGAATGAGTGTGATAACTGTTAGTTAATTGTTTGGCCATCACATCATTTTAATGAATCCTGTAACACTGGATTGCATTTTAGATCACCTGTCCCAGAAGTGGCCAGCCAACCAGGCCTTGGGCCAGGAGGAAACTATGGACTTGGCCCTTGACCATTGGTGCAGCGTGGCAGCTGCGAGTGTGGGCTGCCTGTGCTGGAATCCTGTCTTCACCTCTTACTAGTCTGGAGACCTGGGCAAGTTACCTAACCCTGCTGTGCCTCAGCATGCCCATCTGTAAGATGGAGACAGGAGTGGTACCCCCCCCCCCCCGCCGCCATAGGACTGTTATGCTGATTAAATGTGGGAACTGCTCGGTGCACCATGAACACTCTCTGAACGTTCGCTGCCACCATCTGTGTGTCGGTTACTCAACCTTCTCGGATGCCACTTTTCCGAAGACAGCCAGGATAAATATACTCATGTGCGTAATTGCTGGCCCTTCCTTTGTCTCCCAGGCACGCAGTAGGTCCTCACTGTTGTCATTTGGATATGAAGAGCCCAGTAGCCGGGTTTGAGTCTCAGCTTGGCTACTTTCCACCCCCATGGCCTTTACCTTGGCCGAGTTCCTGAAGTTAAGGGAGGCTCGGCGAGGTTATCTATAAAATGCAGGTACTTCCTTTACCGTGCGAAGGATTACACTTAACCCAGTGCCTGGCACACAATGAACACTCCATAAATGGTGAGATTGTTGTCATTCCCATAAAAAGCACACAAGGCCCCTTTGGCTTTTGTGGCCTGGGGTGCCAAAGCTGGTTCACGTGGCGCCCCATGAAGTCACGGGCAGGGCTGCGGGAGGTGCCGGGGACAGACGGCCTTGGGCAGGGGCCCGTGTTGCAGGCCTCACACGGCCAAGGCTTTTTAAAGGCCTTGTATTAGAAAAATAAACCAATTAAATAATACTGCCCCCCATAAAAGCTGACTTTTAGTGGATTTCATGGTGGGGTTTTCACCGTGGCGGTCTTGCAGCCACAGGCCTGGGCGAGCCTGACTGCCGCCATGGGGAGAGTTTAATCTTGCATGGCATGGGCATAATTTTACAAGTTTTATGGGTGTTTTTTCTCCTCCGAAGTGTTGCTATGTCATTGTGCACCAAGGGCAACCTGCGTGCATTTAACAGTTTACCTCGTTTTTGGTGGCAATGAAAAATGAAGTAATAAATTAAAGAAAAACAACATGGATTTTTCCCTGTCTTCTCGAGGCAACTGTGGACGAACAAAGAAGCAGTGTTTCCCCGCACAGCCTAATCAAATTCTAGTGGCTTTTATGTATGGACATTTGCCCCAGATCGCCTCCTCCCCGGAGAGGGCTGCAGGGCATGGAGGGCATGTTTGGGGCTTGTCTGGCTGACCCCAGGAGTACTTGGGGCCGCTCTCTAGGGCAGGCGTCTGCAAACTACAGCCCGGGGGCTGGATCCGGCCCGCCGGCTGTTTCTGTGAAATAGTCAGAAAAGAAAATCAGAAGAAGAAGATTTCCTGATACATGAAAATTACATGGAATGCAGATTTCAGCGTCCAGGAATGAAGGTGTATTGGCACACAGCCATGTCCATGCAGTTCTGTGTTGTCTGTGGCAGCTTCCACATTGCAATGGCGGAGTTGAGAAGTTGAGAAAGAGACCGACGGCCCAAAGCCGAAATACTGTCTGGTCCTTTACAGAAAAAGCGTGCTGACCCTGCTCTAGCAAGTGAAGAGAAGGAGAGAGAAAACGCAGCTTCTGGTTTCCTGAAATTGGTGCTTTACTCTCAGGGTTTCTGTGTGGCTCAAAGTGACAAATCAAAGGAGCATTGCATGGGAAGGCGTTCTTCACCTGGAGACCTTCCGGAGTAATCGGCTGCTTGTGGAGGCAGCTTTCCTCCCTTCTCTGACCTCAGGCGGCTTCTGAGCAGAGGGGCCTGGGTTTATCCCCCTCCAACCAGCCCTCTCTGTCTTTTGTGGCTGTGGGGCTTTCCTGTCGGAGAATCCCAAAGCCAGGTAACTTCTCATCAGCTCACTTGATGCTCAAGAATAAAGAAGTTCTCATGTTCCCTCCCAGGGGGCGAGCAATTTTTGTCATAAATTATGTGCGAATGTAGTTTATGATCTCCAGTAGCTTCGGAAATTTATAACAAACGCGTCTTTGCCGGCAGCCAGTTTAAGCATTCTTCATATAGTAGTAACCCATTTAATCCTCACAACCAACCCAGGGAGTTAGGTCCTCTTCTCATCCCCATTTTACAGGTGAAGAAACAGAGGCACAGAAAGGTTAGGTATCTTGCCTAAGGTCACACAGCTGGTATGTGGTAGAGCCCGGATCCAAACCTAGGCTGTTTGCTCCAGGGAACGTCGTGCTGTCCACCTTGCTGCCACTGCGTAGACGGTGAATTCTTTAGACTCGTGAAAGGATCTGCTTTCCTTGTTCCACCCGTGCCCCTACCATGGCATTCCACGAGAACATTGCCTCCTGTGTGAGAAGAAAGCACTTGTTCATTCGTTCATTCGTTCCTCCCTCCTTCTATCTCCCCCCCTTCAACAAACAATTATCAAGCTGGTGACTGTGTGATAGACTCTGTGTGGGGCTGCCTGGAGTGAGGGGTTTTTGGTGAATGAGAAGAATGAAAAAAGAATCCTTTTCCATTTAAAAATAGTTCTTGGTGGGGCCGGCCTGGTGGCGCAAGCAGTTAAGTGTGTGCGCTCCGCTGCTGTGGCCCGGGGTTCGCCGGTTCGGATCCCGGGCGCGCACCGACGCACCACTTGGCAAGCTATGCTGTGGCGGCGTCCCATATAAAGTGGAGGAAGATGGGCACAGATGTTAGCCCAGGGCCAGTCTTCCTCAGCAAAAAAAGAGGAGGATTGGCAGATGTTAGCACAGGGCTGATCTCCTCACAAAAAGAAAAAAAAAAATGGTTCTTGGTGTGCTCAATGCTGTTGGGTTTTTGAGAAATTCACTTAATTCTCCCTCTTGTATTAATTAGCAGTGTCATTTGTGTCTGTCTAGAACTGTAGACCCTCGTCCTTTCTGCCTCAAGCTGATATTCTCACTAAAAATAACCTAATTTACCAGAGGCTTTGGGGAGGCCGGGCCTCTGACTTATGCAGTGGAAGAACCCGCCTGGGGAAGGCCCTGCCCCGTTCTCAGGAGACCAGGTGCTAGGGAGCCAGGATCCGAGGTTGTAACTGATGGTTGAGGGGGAAGGCTGTGGAATTTTAAAACCGTCACCAATCCCGGTGTTGGTAGAACTCTCCCTCTTGCAACAACATTTACACTGTCTTTTGTAAATAGCTTTATTTCAATATTTTAGATGCCTGTCTTGTTTTCTTAAAAATTTGCTGGGAAGAATATTTAGCATCATGAATGTGGAGATGCCTGAATGTTGGGGAAGACGGAATGGCCCAACGCCATGGGAAAAAGGAACAGCTTCGCTAGAAGGCGGTTCTCTCTCTTCCTTCCCTTCCTGTTTCTTCTTGCCTCCGCTGTGCCTTTTTTTTTTTTTGTCAGACAACAATCCTTGGTTGCTCATTTCTGATGAGCCTTCGCTTTCTTTCCCCAGTCATGCGGAGGAACCCCTTTGGCGTGGACATCTGCTGCCGGAAGGGGTCTCGAAGCCCCCTGCAGGAACTCTACAACCCGACCCAGGTAAGCCCTGGAAACTTCTTGGTTTCTTGGCTCTATATCCATGAGTCAATTGTGTGTGTGTGTGTGTGGGGGGGGAACGGAAAAACCCCCAAATTCTGTTTTTTGGAGATTTGAAACTTCCTTTGACTGCCTGGCATTTTATCTTCAGTGGTTGCTGTCTCGGTCACCCTTGCTCTATATAATGGGTCTGAAATTCTAGCGAGTGGTATTTAGTGTTAAACGCCTTGGTGTCGTGGTGGACTGCGCTTTCAGACCTGCCCAGGTTTTGGATCCCTGAGCCACACAGTTGCAGGTGTCAGCAATGGGACTCTGGAATTGCAGAGCCGGGCGGGCTGTACAGTCTCCCCCTTGGCACCCCCAAAGAAGGCTCACACGTGGGTGAACTTGCCACCCAGCTCCCACATCCAATTATTAAAGCCCAATGATGCCCCAAGAGTTCCACCTCACTGTACCAGTTGGACAAGACTCCCTTGTGTGGGGGGACTTTTTGCTAAGTGACTGTCATAGTAACTTGGACTTAATCATGAAAAGAGTTCCTCTTTGAGCAAAATAAGCTCCAACCATAGAAATGTGTCCTCCGTGGAAAGCTAGGAGCAAAGGGAGGAGGCCTGGTTGCCATGGTGATGGCCTCGGTGGTGTGTGGGTCTTGATGTGGAGACTCCAAGGCTGGTCCTTTTGCAAGAACGTTAATTAGCACTTGATGCCAAGAACTGGTGAGAGAACAACTAGTGGCCCATCAGCTGACCTTTGATTGCTGTTGAGAAAGAAGAAATATGTACTCGTTTGACTATAGTCTCTGCGCTTTATTTTGTATCAAATTCTTAATTTGGTATTTCTGTGGACCAAGGTGCTTGATGGAGGAAGATAATGCTTGGTCCACAAAGGTGCTGAGTTCCTAGATGTCTTGCAAAGGAATGAGCCTGAGAACTTTCTGATCCTGCATCTCTTCCCTGTCTCTTGCCTGCCCTCTCTTCTGGAAAGATGGACTCCTGAGTTTGTGCATCGTGGGTGGCCTAACCAGGTTCATTCACTCCCCCGTCAGCCCCACCTCTTTGGAGCTCTAGTATGACCAGGCCGGATTAGCCAGGTAATTGCAAACTCAGATTGCCTGAGGCTTCCTTTACTGGGCTCTCTGGTGACTCAGCAGGGAACTTGATATTTGTGTTTTGTTTGGTGGCCAAATAATCTGATTATTCTAGGCAAGTCTCCCAGCCTGTTCATACACCCGTCCTTAGGAAGAGGCAGAACCAGCTTCGACGTAGGACAGAACTTCTGGTAAGCCATGTTGAAAACAACACGTGCTACCAAGATGCAAACCATTCCTATCTTTTTATTGACATCCTCTATTCTGCTCTCCTGAGGAAATTTTATGGGCAACATATGGTGTCACAGGAAGAGCCTATTTCTGAAGTAGATGCCCCTCTGGTCAGGAAGTCCATGGACTGTGTCTGTACTCTTCACTGTGGTATCCTCCACCCTAACAGAGGGCCTGGCCGAAGTGCCCTCAAATGTCTGTGATTGAAAGACTGGAAGTCCAGGTTCACATTCCTATTTCCCTCCCACTGGATGGGTGGCCTTGACTACATGATGATTCCTCTTTAGGGGTCAGTTTTCCCATCTCTCCAGAATGTTGGGAGGATGAAATAACTCTGATGTGTCAAGGGCTATATAAACATGATTCGTCATGATCATGGTCGTGAGAATGGCTTCAATATTGGAAGCCTTGACTCTAGGGTCACTGGATTCAAAGCCTGCTTTCCCTTTTTACTCGCTAGCTATATGAGTGTGGGCAAGATACTTAACCCTTCTGAGCCTCCTTTCCCTCGTTTATAACATAGTGCTATAATACCTGCCTTGCAGGGTTGCTTAAGAAGATGTGCCTTGCTTGGTATCTGCTATGGAGTTTGTTCATTCCCAGATTCATTCACTCATTTACTCATTCATTTCTTTATCCTCTGTTACGAGTGCCTACTACGTGCAGCACAGTGCCAGGCTGTGGGCACAAAAGGGTGAGCAGGGCATATGTGATTAGCCTTCCTTGCCCAGCTCCTCTTATTATCCCACAGTTGACATAAGCGAGTTGATTGGCGAGGGAGACCCTGCTTGGTCCATTCATAAACCAATCAAAGGAGAGAGAACCTTCTTGGGTAGAGGTTGTCTCTTCCTTCCGGTGGTGTCATGAATGTTGTCCCGATGAGATGCTCATTTAGCAGTAGCCTAGGACCTGGGAGAGAAGATGGGGCTGGAAACGCAGCTCTGGGAGCCATTCTTGAGGGCGTAGGTGGGTGAGTCACCACCCTCCATCAAGAATGTCGTGGGCAAGCTGTCTGGCCCCCTTTGCTGGCAGCCAAGAAAAGGTCCCCACAGGAAGATCTCCCCGTTTCCTCGGGATGTTGTCCTGGGATGTTTTTTTCTTGGGCTGGTTTCCTTTACAAGCTGCAATTATGTTCCATTCCCACGCAAGTTCAGTCAGTGGCGCTTCTCAGAGAGACTGTCTTGGTGATGGTTTGGGCTGCTGTGGGCCGAGGCGTTCAGAGGAGAGAAGGGAGCGAGTGTTCCTGTTAGGTTTTGTGTCCATGAGACATTTACAGACTTGGTACCCGATGGGGCTTGGTTGCGGTTTCTCGTGTTTCCCTCCCAGCCACGCTGAAGCCGCTAAGCCTGGATATTGATGTTATCACAGAGGCAGATGACAAACCCTGTAATTGCTAGAAACCAAACTGCTCCCAGAGATGCCTTTTTCCCCTTTTTATGTTGACTAGTTATTTGGGTTTGATATACGATGGTGAAAAGAGGAACCGTTTATGTTAGATGATAAGAAACCGACATTATGGCAAGAAGGCACCATCTTAGTGACCATGTACTGTACTGTGGACCAGATGCTGTCTGGATGCTTGTAAACACCTCATCGAGAGCTTGTAATAAGCCCAGAGCTAGGTATCACAGCCCTATTCTATGTATGGGAGAGTTGAGACCGAGAAGGTTGTACAACTTGCCTACGGTCACCCAGCTAGTAAGAAGCAGAATAAAGGTTCAACCCCAGGACAAACTACAAAACCATTTATCTCTGTGCTGTACTCACTGTCACCAGCAAGGCTCTCCTGACAGGAATTACCCCATTTCCCCTCCAAAAATACGTATATATATATCACACCCAAATTTTCATTGGACAAAGGCTTAAAAGCTCCCTTGGGAAAATAGGCTTTAATCTGATTTTAGTATCCAAGGTTTTCTTATTTTAGTGCCTTGCAAACCCCTAACCATTAAAACAACAATTGGTTAAAAAAAAGTTCGTAGTTGATATTCTTAGAAAAACTGCACTCTGATGTCTTATAATTTTCCTGGTTCTCTGCTGTCTCCCTGGCCCCAAAATAAAGCGTAATTGCTGATCAGATCAGCTGGCGTCAAGTCACCGACAGTTCAGAAGTTGCCAACTGCATATTTGCGGGCCGAGCACATCTGTGGGCCGCCCTGGCTCAGCTCAGACTCATAGGGCAGAGCTGCATTGTCAGCCATTAATAGGGCATAATTGCCCCTAAATGCCAGCAAGGGCGAGACAGCTTGTCCTTCTGCCTCGCCCACCTCCTGGTCCTCTCGTGGGTTCCCTGAAATCTTCACAGCGTCCCTCATGTGGTTCAGTCCTGCCTGCCTACTTCTTTCTTTAGCCTTGTGCTTGCTCTGTGATTACCACGTTCCAAGAAGACAGATGCACAACCCGGGGGCTGACCAGGAGTTCGTTAAGCACTGAGTCTGCGAGGCTTGCAGAAGATACACCAGATCCAATTGTCTGTGGGTGTTCCTAGGGGTCTCTGAGGACCAGTCAATATAATATTTTGACCAGTCAGTACTTTATAATAATAGTAATAATAATAATAATAATAGTAATAAAATTGGACCCTCATTGGTCCAATCTTCAATGTGTTAAGGTAAATTTACTTCTCCATTAGGTAGGCTCCAGGGAGAAGGATGGAGAGAGAGAGAGAGAGAAGGAAGGAAAAAGGGAGGGAGGGAGAAAGGAAGAAAAGATACTATTCCCTGGATGTATAATGCATGTCAGTGACTATTCTGGGTTTTTGTTTTTTTTCACACATATCTATGAATCTTCACAACAACCCTAAAAGGAGGAATCCAATAACCCCGTTTTTCAGATTAAGTTAACTGAGTCTCAGAAGGGCTGAGCAATTTGCCAGCATCACACAGCTCCTAAATGGTAGAGCTGGGCCTATCTGACCTGGCGAGATTGTAGGAGGGTGAGAGCTCATCACTTTATCTTTCCTGCGTGGAAAAATGCCTCCTTGAGGTTCTCTTTCCCAGTGATTCAAGCCGAGACCTGGGATGTGCTCAGGATAGTTGTAAAATTCCCACCGGCAAGGGCCGGGGCTTATGGAGTGGTATGGAAGGCACAGTAGACGTCTGATAAGCAATTGCAGACTTGGTATTTACTTCCGGAACCTGATATTTGGAGAGGCCTTTGTCTCCTGGCTGGAGCCAGGCTGAGCAGGAGTCACCCCCAAGAACTCTGCAATGGGACAGCACACCTTGGTGAGATTGGAATTTGGGGTCTTTGATTCAGTTTTAAATTGATAAAAGTTTGAATCGTCCAAGACGGGGTGGGGAACTCTCCTAGCCCCAAACTAAATAGCTTTCTGAGCAATGCTTGTTGAAATTTGTTTCTCCCACAGGCATTTATAGAATAAACAGAGGAGAAAGACATGGGGAAGAAAGGCATGTAGGTAATAGAACATGGTAAGTGCTGCGTGATAGAAGCTTCTCGCAAAGTTGTGGGAGAATCAGGAGTGAGTAGTTAACCCTTCGAGGTTCAGGGCACAGTGGGAGGCTTACAGAGGAGGGGGCATTTGAGCCAGGCCTTTGAAGATACATCAGACTTCACCTGACGGAGAAGAGGGAAGAGCATCACAGAGGGGAGGAACAGCAGGAGCGAGGACCACGGGCGGACAGTCTGTGGCACATTCAGAGACTGGTGAGGGGTTTGTGTCTGG